TGGAATTTGTGCCTATTCATCTTTCCAATTCCATGCTCATTTTTTGAGACCAGGTGGTTGTGAAGCTAATATTTTTTTTCTTCAATATAATTTGATTATTAATTTGTGATTCTTTTAAAAATGAGTGATCTGCATTGATTTTAAATAAGGATCGGTGGGGATAATTACACATATACCTCAATAATCTCCAACCAATTTTTAAAAAATTAAACCAACCCTTATTAAAAGTCAAATTTAATTTCACTAGATTCAATCATTCCTCATTTACATTATGAAAGCAAATTAGAGAAGAAACTCTATACAAAATCAAAAGGTATATGTTAAATAAATATTTTTCTTATCTCCTCCCTATGAACATTTGTATTGTTGAACAATGCACTATCCAATATTAATTGAAATATACAAAATGAAAATGCCATATAATGATGCCTGGGAATGAAGATGAAACAGTTAAAAAAATGAATAAGACAGTTCACACTTTATATATAATTGATATAATAATAACGGAAAGCCCAATTTACATGTCTATAACAGGTTCTCTTTACAGTCCACTCTCTATAATGTACTGAAAATTTAAGCCCAATTTATATGTACATATATAAATTATTATTAATATTATTGTCTATAACAGACATTTTTTCCTAAACCAAATGGTACATTATAGAGAAAAAAATTAATATAATAAATATTTTCTAGATGTTAAATTAAAAATTTTTAATTTTAAAAGGAATTACTTTGAACTGGGTTGGGCTCTCTGTGAAAAACAATTTTTGGAAAGCATAGCAGAAGTAGATGCATGTCTGAACAAGTAAAACAACTTCAAAGAGCCTATTTTTTGTCAGAAATGTAGATAAGAAACGCTTACAGATCCAAAACAAAGAGTAGAAGCAGGTAAGTTGGATGCAAATGAGTAGTACGTTTTAGTAGAGAACATAAAAAAGAATCAGCTGAGAAAGAATTGGACAAACCATTATTTTGTATTATGTTGATTTTATACCCATAATCCCCAATCAAGATTGAAATAGTGCAAAAATGGCTTGAACAAAAAAATTTTTTTTTGATAAAAATATTCATAACAGTCTGTTTATTGATATCCAAATGTTTGTTTTACAAAAATGCAAGTGGAAACATCATGTTACAATAGGATATGTAATGCAAACTGGATGATTTTTACTATAAAATGTTACAAATGCACCCACCGATCACTAATTAAAATTCACTCATTCTTAAAAGAATCACGAATTAATGTATATATATATTAATATGCCAAGTTTAAATTGTCACACTAAAAAAATGTATTATTTGTCACCTTCTTATATCAAAAACATTATAGAGAAAAAAATTAATATAATAAATATTTTCTAGATGTTAAATTAAAAATTTTTAATTTTAAAAGGAATTACTTTGAACTGGGTTGGGCTCTCTGTGAAAAACAATTTTTGGAAAGCATAGCAGAAGTAGATGCATGTCTGAACAAGTAAAACAACTTCAAAGAGCCTATTTTTTGTCAGAAATGTAGATAAGAAACGCTTACAGATCCAAAACAAAGAGTAGAAGCAGGTAAGTTGGATGCAAATGAGTAGTACGTTTTAGTAGAGAACATAAAAAAGAATCAGCTGAGAAAGAATTGGACAAACCATTATTTTGTATTATGTTGATTTTATACCCATAATCCCCAATCAAGATTGAAATAGTGCAAAAATGGCTTGAACAAAAAAATTTCATAACAGTCTGTTTATTGATATCCAAATGTTTGTTTTACAAAATGCAAATGGAAACGTAAGGCGAACTGGATGATTTTTACTATTACTATAAAATGTTACAAATGCGCCCCGCCGATCACTGATTAAATGACTCATAAAGCAATAGTAGAAACCATTACAATGAAATCTCCAGTAAATAAAATTTTGAAATTTTCAACAAAAATATTTCATTAATCAAAAACCTTACACTAAACGTTATCTTTAAAAAAAGAACGTTTCTAATAAAATCACGAAATAATACTTAAATTTTTTTTATTATTATACAAATAAAGCTCTCACTCCTACATACATATTATTAAATATTCTAATTTTAATTAAATAACATTGACGGTATTGAAAACTCTCAATAACAAAATTTCCCTGCCTTTGAAGATACTATTTGTTAATGACAAAAATTTTTCAAGTTGACTTACAAAAGTACGTCCTACTGCTCCAAACACTAATAATATGATCTCAACATGGACATTAGAATACTGACTTTTTATTTAATCATGTCGGCTCTGTTTTTTATAACGCTGGTTTTATTACCTACTAAAAAGTGGTTGTGACATTCGAACTGATACAACAACTAATCAAATCAAAAAAATATCATAATAATTACCGTCACCGTTATTTAAAGGATCTAAAGATTTTGATAATATAAATTCAATAATTCATTAACTGCTTTATCAGCTTCACTTGATCAAACCCGTACTATTGTCATTGTAAATTAACAAATTCAATTTTCCTCGAAAACTTAGTAATAAATTTATATAATGTTGGAAACTTCGAATCATAGATAATGAGATTTCAAAAGAATTAAAAATTAGGGTTGAAAATAGATTTAATAGTAATGATGTTAAATGGTTAGTGTTATATTTTTATAAGAAAAAGTACGCGGGAGGGAGTGTGTATGCGTGTTTATGACAATTGATTATTTTTTACCATTTAATTGATCACATGAAATTTATGTACTCTAGTTACAAAATGGCCACTGCTGCTTCAAATGGTATTTGGGATATAGAAAATGGCAGATCAAGGATTGATAAGAAGTTTCTTTTATTATAAGTTTATGTGTGTGTGTGTATATATTTACTTTGTCAAAAATCTATCTTCTACAGATCAAAAATCGATGAATATACACGTGCTGTTAATAGAATATGTTTTAGTCCACAAGAAGATTAAAATAACAGATCCTTACGAGTTTACAAAAAAGTTAAAATCCAATATTAACGGTAAATTTGACAGGTCGAAACGTAAATATTTATTATCCGGAGCAAACTTACAATAATTACATAACAAAGCGGCTAATTTCAGTACCTGATACCCATCGTGGAAGAGTAAATCTAAAGAACGAAAAAGATAAATTATTTAAACATTTGCTCAAGAAGCATACCTAATAAGAGTGACATAGGTGAAAATATCTGTGAATTTAAGGAAAGCAATTGTAGTAGATGATAGAGTTAAATTTTGCGTTTTGTGGGCTCTTGAAGCACATGACCCGTCCAAATAGAAAATTTTGACAATTCAATGCCTACCATTCAAGGCTGGGTGATGAAAGTTTAAACCATTTTTTTTTAGATCAAATATCACGTGCTTAATTGGATACTTACTTTTGTACATAAAGTTTTAGTAGGAATTGTTGCTTCTTTTCATTTATTATTGGTTTTGCAACTTTTTCCAGAATCTGTAGAATCATGTGATGATTGTTGAAAAGCTTTTCGTTTATTATCTTTAAAAATAAATCTTCATTCATTGATTCTTGAACTAATTCTAATGTACCGCAATCTGAATTATTATTATCACCATTATTTTACGATTCCCAATTCCATATTCTTGTTCATTTTATCATTGTCTTTCAAAAAAATTATTTTCTAAATCCTTTATCCCATCATTGTTATCATCATCATTATTATCATGATCACTGTTATCATCAATATATCACTATTATTATCACTTTCATCATCCAAATTAACTTTTCTTCAACCAATATACTCTTTAAATCCTTTTCTGATAAAGAATGTATTAATTATTAGAAAAAAGAATGAATTTTTGCAGAATTAATATTTAGATTTTGATGATTTCTTCCATAAAGGCACCCTAAATATGAAAAAATGCGTTCACATTCACCACTATGTGGAATAATTTAATTGCTGACTGTAAGAAAGTGGACTATCATATGTTGCATTTTAAGGTTTTGTTGTAATCTATATTTCCGCAGTTGAAAAAGTAATTCTGTACAAGGTTTTTTTTTGATTTTTGCATTGATTTCCAATAGGTTGCTGCAATTTCTGAAACATACTTTGTAGCCTAGACGCAAGGATGATGGTTTTCTGCTTTAAGCAGAAAATTGCTAAAATCGCTGAAGTATGTATCAAAAGCAGAAATGTTAAGTGTTGAATGTCTTTCTATTTTTCACGTATATGGCAATGTAACATAATCTTTGTTGTAAATCATATGATTAGGCTGTTATTAAAAATATTTCGTTTTTCATCAAATTGTTCATGATGACCTAATCTATTAGCTTTATAGAAATTGGTTATGGTTTCTATTTGAATAAAACAAATAATATGCACAATCCGATTAAAATAATTTTCTTTGTCAGCTATTTTTTCTTCGTATAGTGCAGGACACCTAGTCCCACAACTTTTTATTGGTCTTGTATATCCTTTAGTATACCAGAAATGGAAATATAACACAAAAAAATCAAACCATGATTTTGAAGCTAAGACCTTTCTCCACAAAGCTACGATTTCATTTTGTTGATATGTCACATTACCATGGAGAGATCAAGCCTCAAAGTTGCACAAGTTTACTATGTTAAGCCCAAAACTGTCGCGTTACACGCGATTTATATATATATAAAAATGAACAAATTGAAACAAAATAAAAGTTTTTGAATTTTTAGTTGATGATCACATCCATATTAGGTAACCCAATGTTTATTCTTATTGCCGATTTTACTATTTATGGAATGACTAGGAAATATCACATGACAAAACAATTTTTATTGCATTTTTGATCCGAAATTTTTTCCCAAAATTGTCGTCGTGGCGCAGTAAGTTGCGGGATTAGGTGTTCCTGCACTGTAGTCTTAATAATAGTTGCAGTTCCCGATTTAGCATACCTCGATTTAACGGATGCTAAAGATATTGATTTGATAGACTGGGACCCAAAACAATTTAATCATAACAAACAACAACAACAACAATAATAATACATAGTAAAATTCTTCTTGACATTGATATAACAGACTTTTGAAGAAAAAAAATTCAAATTGCCCAAAACCGAGATCTACTATGTAATTGAGATTTTTCCCTTATAGAAATAGTGATAGATTTATTGTTTCTTTCTATTAGCAATTCAATAAGAATTATTTGTTTGATTTTTTTTTTTTATTAACTGCTTTTAGCTATTTTTGATTAATTAAATTTTTTTTGATAAGATTCTATAGCAGAATTAAGTAGAATTAGGGCAAAGCTTAAGCAAAAATAATGTTTTTAAACGCCATAGAAATAAGCAGGTTCTTGGTATGATTGCTGCAGAAATTCATCGTTCCTGCCTGAATGCAAAAAAAATACACTAATAAATAAAATTCTTTCCATTGTAAACTACTGTAAATACAACATTTTTTAAAACTAGAGATTGTGTTTATAGAAATACTTTAAACTGAAACAGCTAATTTAACAAGATATATATAGCAACTGGCAAGGTTTGTGTTTTCTGATTGCAAAATTCTTGTTGGTTTGAAATATAAGATTTCTAACATTACTAAAAAAAATTATATCCTTCTTAATTGAGCTTGGAAATAGTTCATAAAGCGTGATTCTAAACGTGCAATTGATGATAAAGAGTCATGGACTGGTGCCCACTGAGATCAACAATGGATTTTTTAAACCTCTACCAACAATATTATTATTATTACTATAATGATTAAGTATATTATTAGCTTGATATGATTTAAAAATTTCATTTGTTCTATTACATAATGAAAGATGATTTTTTGCTGAATTCATACAGTGAGCAATACATCTATTAAATATATGAGGGAATCCTTCAGAAACTATTTCTCTAGGTAACCTAACATTATATCAATAATCAGCTACTATAGCCACGAATTTCTTTTTATCACTAATTTTTTCAGCAAGAAACTGACCTGTGTGGTTAATATGAGAAAGATTTCCACAGAAAATAAATATGTGCCTTCATAAAAGTTTGATAAAAGATTTAGACCTTTTGTTTTATGTTTATTTCATTGTTTTGTTGATTGTTAATTGCATCCAAATAAAAAAGTAATGACATCCAGGATGTTCATTGGCCAAATAAACCTTGAGTTAAAAAGGTGTTTCGCAATTTCAGGTTTAAGATAATATTTGCAAGGCACTGAGTAATGTCCTTTTACTTTTTCCCTTCCTTCCTTTAATGAAGTGTAACCATAAATGAGACATAGGATGTCCCAGAACTAATTCTTGATTATTGTTAAATGAGTTACTAATTCAATTCTAAACAATCACACAAATGCATTATCTAAATTTAATATTTGCAGGCCTATATTATATTGGGGTGTACGATGGACTAATGTAGATCAAAACTAATTAACTAATAAACCTTTTTTCAACAATTATAAAAATAAAAATTGCATCTTCTCATTCAAAAAAAAAGATACAACTATAAAATTAAGAGATATTATAACAAATGTAATGGTTCACAGAGAGTTTTTTTTAATTTT